ATGATGTGCAAAAAAGGAGCCACGTCGCCTCGTTTGATTTGAATCGCTAGACCGCTAGAGCATTCAACAAATCTCAACTTTTCTCAAATCAAATCAACAAGGAGAGGAGCAGTACAGCGAACCTGAGATTGCCTACTATGGTGGTGAGGCCATGGCCGTGTGACTCACGGACTCACGAGTGACTCACCGTCAATAACTCCCCCTCGTTTCCAGATGTTTCCAGCTCCACCTGCCGTCACTGGCGTCACTAGCCGCTACTAGCCCTTCTCTTCTCACAGTGGATTCTGGGTATCTCTTCAACTTGTGTTCGTTGGCAGATTCAAGAGTTGAACCAGACCTTGGATGAGCGAATGCAACAGCGAGCCCAGAAAGCTTGCGCACCCAGCGGGTGAGATGTTGTAAGAGATAGAAACGGACAGTTCGATGATGGAAAACGCGCTGAAGATCTGGACAGCCCATACAGCCATATGAATTCGATTGAATTCGCAAAATGGAAAGTGTGAAACTATCAGCACAATTGAACAGGTCTTTCGTATCTTTCGTCTCTCCAAGGCCCATGAACTAGAGGGTCAAATCGACGAGAAATGCAAAGTGGACTCCTCAGATTCGCTGTATGAAAGGGTCGAAGTATTTGTTTGAATATGTTTGAAGTACTTGTTGAAAAATTGGCCCAAATATGGCCTGTGCATACTTTGGGTTGGACATACCTTCAATGGTGGGGTTACTCCCAAAAAATCGACCAGTGAGAACAGGACATTTATGCCACTATCCTCCACGACTCTTAAAGAAAGAGACAGTGGGTTAACCCCGTGTTTGGAGGCTCCCATGCAAGTCTTCTCGGAAGCGTATGCTGCCGCAGTAGAATCCCTTTGCGCCAGTCAACGGGGCATGCTTTGATTGCAGTCCAATGGCAACTGCAAAGAACGTAAGCAAACAGCACAGTGTTTGTTATGCCAAGAAGGATTCAGCAATTTGGACCTACAAAACAAGACAAAACCTGTTGCCCATCCCATTGCTTTGTTCTTGGTGAAGGCAAAATTCATCTGTCTGGAACTTGCCAGGCAAAGGCTATGGCCGGAAGTATGGTGAACCTCGACGCAAAGCACAGGAGCGTGTACGTCCCTCCGGCTCTTTGAAAGATCATTTTTATTTAACTTTGACAGAAACAGATTCACAGAAGCTCTGTCACCACTGTAGTACTGTAGGAGAGCTCCGTGGACAGATGGTTTTTGTAGGCATGCACAGTATTACACAATATTTGCTGATTGATTCTCATCAGCTCCGGGTGACTTCTCCACTCCTTGCAACATTATCACGTGAGTTATTGCCAGGCACCCTGATAGCCCGAGCGAAAACTGTTGGTGCAAATATCGAAATACTTTTAGACTATGCTCGAAGACCCAGTGAAGACCAGCTGGCACTTGAAGTACGTCTATATACAGTACCTGTTGTGTGTACGTGCAATACAGTCTACTGCAGCGAGTCTAGTAGCTCTGAGTGTGTTCGAGGTCAAGAGTATGCTGGCGCTGCCAATAGAAGAGGGTGGTGACTCGGACCGAGTTGACACATTATATTGATATGAATATACTGTGTATAATATATATATGTATACATATGATAATCAGATCAAAATCAATTTGAATGTCAACAAATGTCAACAAATGTCAACAATTTCGTAAGATGTAAAAAGCCTTGCATGGCGCCTTGGCGCGTGGCATAGCGTTGACAGTCCGAGGGCATTGAGGCATTGCCATGCTGAGGCATTGAAGTTGCGACCATGCCGCCGTTGCCTCGAATCATCAGCATAAGGCGGGTGCACGACATTGGGGAAATTGACGATTTATAGTGATTTAATAATTTACATCCTTTTGTAGAATTCCGGACAAATGACAGCTTCGGGTTTGCAGCTCTAAAGGCATTCAAAAGCCTTCGGGGCATGTGATCAGACCCAATAGTATGCCCACGCAGCCCACGCGCTGAAAGCACCGCTGTTTTTCCCCAACAGCGCGTAAGCTAATGGGGTCTTCAGCCCAGAATAGCTCCGGTGTGCACTGGTGCAGGCGCCGGGTCAGGTTCAACGAGGTTCCGGAGAAGGTTCGGAAGGTTCCGGAGAAGGTCTGGGAGGCTTTGGTGCAGAGCCAGGTCAGGTTGCTTTGGTGCAGAGCCAGGTCCAGGAACCGCAAAGCCTAGTCAGGTTCAACAGGGTTCCGGAGAAGGTTCCGGAGAAGGTTCCAGAGAAGGTTAGGTCTGGGAGGCTTTGGTGCAGAGCCAGGTCAGGTTCAACAGGGTTCCGGAGAAAGTTCCGGAGAAGGTTCCGGAGAAGGTTCCGGAGAAGGTTCCGGAGAAGGTTCCGGAGAAGGTCTGGGAGGCTTTGGAGCACGCTGAGGTGTTTCCAGCGCTTGGCTTCGCAGCACGCTGCAGAAAGATTTGTAAAGATAGAATGTTGGGGCTGTTGGGGCTGTTGGGGATACCAGCGAAGCTTATTTTTTTTCCCAGTGCTTGAGGCAACTGTCTCGTTCGGTGTTCAATGATGTTTAAATAATATGTTTTGTGTATAGTTGACATGTTGAGTCCCTCTTCCAAACATTTCTTGCCTACTGGCTGTTCCTGGCTCGTTTGCGCCTGCTGCTTTGCTCGACCATGTTTGCTTGAGAGAACATATACTGGAACACCAAACTTGTTCTGCTCCATCCTTTTTTCCTTCCATACCCACTCGCCCTCACTAAACTTGATGCAGTCAACAGCACTTATTCTGCATGATACATTCGCAATGCCTGCATGATTCCCGTAAGCTACCCAGTTTGTTTGCAAGCATGCTTTCAACCTATGCTGGAGTTGCCAAGGGCAAACATTGTTGTTTCATGCTGCTGCTAAAACTGCAAAGTGTACCAGAGCAAACCACAGGGTTGAACCGCATTGAGTCCTGGCGGGTTGAGCAGCTGATTGAGCTGAGAGTGCTTCTGATGGAAGGCAGTTCTTCGCAAGAGGTGGTGAGCACGAGACCAAGTTGCCTTTCACATCCGATCGCAGTGTTTCCATGGAAGATCTCTTCAGACCATGACAAAGAAAACATCATGCATTCGGAAATAAAGATGAAATAAAACACATTCCCGGCAGTTCGGCCTGAATCTTGTTGTTTCATGTTGTTTCATGTTGTTTCCAGGAGCTGGACATTTCCTGCCGAATGTTTGGGCATGCTTTACGTAGCAGCGCTATTCTCAGCTGCTGGAACTCCGAGTGCAATGCAGTGTGAACATGTATGATAGGTATGACTTAACATTCAGCACAGTTTGACTAGCTCCAGTTGCACATTGTGCTGCTTGTGTGTGTGTGTGTGCGTGCTTATTTGCTTAATTATTCTTGTACTTCCGCTTTATGCCAGAGGTTTGTACAATGGCAGAGCTCGGAACGCATCTGGGGGCCTTCAAAGAAGGTTATGCTCGTGCCCGAGTTTTGTCTAGTTTTAAAGTTTATCGTGAGCACAATTTGCTTGTCAAGCTGAGACCGAGGGATATTGCTGTGCTTTGAGAGGGTCAAACGTCACTGTAGGCCTCGAAGTATGAGCTTTCAGCCATGGCCTGAGAATGGATGAACCTGGAACGCTCGGAGCGTGTTGCTTCGGAAACGTCTGCAGAACTCTGTATCCGTCATTATCAGTCTATATCAGTCATTAGTCTGTATAGAGTCTATATATATATATTATATATATACGTATAATATATATATATATTATATTAATATGTAAAGTCCGAAAGGCTGCGTGCCTTGCCGGGCATTGCCGTGTGCCAAGGCAGTTCCGGGCCTCCGTATCCTGCGAGAGGATGCGTGCTTGATGCCTTCCTCGGACGAACAACAGGAGGTGCTCCGCATCGATGCATCTAGCAGGGACCGTTGCTGTATGATTAAGTAGATTTAGATAGACAAATAATTATCCATAAATGAATAAATGCACAATTGAAGCTTATTATACAATACCACATTTATTTTTATAGCAGGCTAGGGAAGAGTGGCCTTTTTTTCCCTCTCCGCAGACCGAGTGTCAGGTACACCGCAAAGCCGAAGCGGCAAAAAAAGCCCTGCACATCTGACGTGTTTTGAGAAGATGTCTTTAAGGCACCGTCCAGAAGTCTTGTGGTCCACGTTACGTTTCGACCCAACTTTGGCTTCAGGAGTCTTTTGATAGCCAGGAGTGACAATTCAGCGGAAGACAGAGAAGAAGCTGAAAGCACTGTGCAGTTGTCAAGGTCATTAGAGGCCATATTCTGCTGTTACTTTGAAATGATTGTGCTATAACGATATCCGATATGAATGTATATATATATAATGATAACCATAATAATAGTAATAATAGTATGCAAGAGTCATATGAGGTGATCATGCTGTGATCATGATGACAAGTTACTGAGAAGTCAGAGACAAGTTCTAGACAACTGGAAGCTGAAAGACCTTAAAACAGAGGCCTCTGCGAGCTTGAGAGAAGATTCCCTCCTGCGAGCACGAGATCTCAGAGGATCAGAATATGCGGAACAGGACTCTTATCACATTACAATACACTTCATGTCTTCACCTATGTCTCTAAGCTTTGAAATCTTATATGCAGTATTTAAATGTATTTAAATAATCATGATTGAAATTGATTGAACTACAATTGAACATATTGAAAGAATTAAAGCTTTGGCTTCCTCTCTGGACTTCATGGGATGTGGACACCGATATGGAGCCCTCACACCACCTGACAGAGGCAGCAAGCACTAACAAGGACCGACAAGGACTAACAAGGACTAGACTACCAAGGACTACAAGGACTACCAAGGACCTCAGGATCTCTGTTTTGTAATCTCGATTCTCGATTTGTATATTCCTGTATCCTGCTGCGCCTTTCACTCAAGGTGTTGGGCCCTTTGATGAAGAGCGAAAAGTTCAACAACGAGATTCAGCTTGTCATTAAAGCTTCCCATGAGGCTTACGCTGGACAGGTGCCAATCTGGGAGCCGTGGTGATGGACTCATGCTGCTTCTCAGTGCCCAAGGGCCTAATCACGAAAGGTAGCTCCAGAGGGGCTACCTTGAGTTTTACTTTACGAAGTAAAGGGGAGGGCGGCCAGCCCCGTTACCTGATTCTTCAGGAGATTGCTAGTCATTTTAGTACCCCCCCCCCCTGTTTTTGTTTCGACCTAATACCTACATAGGTACATGCATGAGTATTGAGCACATTTATATGCGCCTTCAAGGCTCAAGAAAGAGGTATATAGAGTAACCCTGTAGACAAGCACGGACCGGCAACAGGCTGAGTAAAACAAGTGCTGTCATTGGGGAAGACGCCTTAGCTGATCTTGAAGTAGACGCTAGGGCCCCTCTTCAAGTGGTAGCGGAGCTGTGATCCCTCATTGAGGGTGAGCTCCAGGTTGAGCCCAAGCAATGGCAAGCCATGGCTATGATGATGATGACTTCGACATTGTCGATGCAAATGAATGCAATCAATATGACTCTTATGCAATGAGAAGAGCACCCCAGCATACACAGATTCATATGACGCAACAGATGACCACAAAGGTTGCTCCAGCCTATGATGGGCGAACCAGCTTCTTTGCTTTTGAGGATGCAATTGATGACTGGTGTGACATTACGGAGTTAGAACCAGAGAAACGTGGTCCAGCATTGCGCAATAGACTGGAAGGAGATGCTCAACAATACAAGAGGCTATTGGATAGAGAATTACTCAGGGATCCCTATGAAGGAGTGGCTTATTTCAAAAGATTTCTACGACCTCATTTCATCAAAGGTGCCCAGAACGTGTTCTTATACCGTTTCATGCAGTTCATGAAGTTCAACAGAGGAACCATGGATCTTCAGAAGTGGATGACTAGATTTCAACTCACTGGAAATAGACTTATTGAGTCTTGGATGGATTTACTTCCAGAAGTAACAGTGACTAGTCCTGAAGCAATCCTGTTTGTTCAACAACGACGTCAAGAACATGAACGAGATCAACAAGAGAGAGCTGAAGTAGCAGCAGCCTCAGGAACACCCCATGTAGCTGTTCCTTGGACAGATGAACTGGCACTAGTGGCATTCAGACTATTTCAGGAAAATCGTAGAGAAGCACAGCGACAAGCATTCCCACTGGGTGAAAATTTGCTAGCATTGATTTTTGTAAGTCTAGCTGACCTGAGTCAAGATCAGAGAAACACACCCACAAGTATCATGACACATCGTGGACGAACCCTCGATCGATACAGTATTCAAGAACTACGTGACCTGTTTTTGGAAATGTTTTGCACTACCAAAACAGCAGTTGACAATCCATTGATGCAACCCTCTGGCATGGCACAGAGAAGATCTTTCCTCGTACTGGATGAAGGTGAATTAGAAGGAACCGACGGCTATTGGGCCGAAGATGAAGAAGACGGCGCAGAAGGATTCCTGGATGCCTTAGAAGATGTTTTCTGGGTTTATGATGACGCCAACTTCACATGGTATCAGAGAAGGTTCCAAGGCAAATACATCAGACGAGGCAAAGGTAAAGGAAAGAGAAAAGGAAAAGGAAAAGGCAGAGGAGGACGAAGGTTCTTCAGATCAAGAAAAGGAAAAGGCCGAGGAAAAGGAAGAAGGAAAGGCCGCTCTCACATGGTGAGTGAAGAAGGTTATGAAGATGAATGGCAAGAAGATGAATGGAATGAAAATTATGACGGCTATTGGGCCGATGATCAAACCTGGAATGAAGGCTATTGGGCCTATGATGATCTGTACTACATGGATGAGTATGGATACTTCCAGAAGAAAGGAAAAGGAAAAGGAAAAGGAAAGAAAGGCAAGAAAGGCAAGGATGATGATGGAAAAGGAGGAAAGCCAGGAGATGGAAAAGGCAAGTCGAACTACGTTCAACCTCAGACCACATCAGCTCATGCCATACAGAATCAACCAACTCAACAAGCTCATTATTCTTCTGCAGCTTCAAGTTCTGGTCATGGTTTCTTTTCATTTGGAACAACTGAACCAGCTCGTGTTGATGTTGCAGAGACAGAGCCAGCACGTGTTGATGTTTTGACATCCACGTATGCAGCACAAGATGAACAACGACGCACTCGTCGTGGAGGACAGAACCAACGTGATGCAAGAGCACATCAAAACAGGAGAGAAATGAAGAGATTCCCTGTTCTGGTTGGAGAAGTTGGTGCGCTACGACAAGGTGTACAACAACGTCCAGCTGTAGTGCCCAGGCAAGTTGGTCTTCAAGAAGGTGAGGCTTCATGGAAGCCATTGGCAGAAGGCACATCATTGTTTTCATATGGATGCTCTACAGAGATAGAGGAACCATCACAGCAGAGTGCTTTTTCATTTCATACTGTACAAACTGATCTGGCATGTGAGAATGGACTAGCTTTTCACACAGAGAATTCTGCACCACCAACTGTGTGTATTCTGGATCTTGGATGCACAAGAGCGATGGGCTCTCGACGAGCAGTTGAAGCATTTTGCAGATATGTTGACTCACATCCCAACAGTGGACTCTGGTATGAAATTCAGCCAACAAGTTCAAGATTCTTCTTTGCAAACTCACAACAATCAAAATGTACTGAGAAGCTCGTGATATTCATGTATGATCATGGATGGAACACTCAGTTTACAGAATTCGACATTGTCGAAGAAGGTGATGTCCCGTTGTTGATGTCACTTCCACAAATGAGAAACCTTGGATTTCAATTTGAACTTACTCCAGAGAAGGCTTATTTGTCCTGTGCACGTATTGGCATGAGAAAAATGGTTTTGAGGACAGCCATCAGTACTCATCTCATTCTCGACCTACAAGATGTAGCATGGTACATGAGCCAAGTTCATTTCAAGATTCCACAAGTCAAAAGTTTCTATTCACAACACGATCACTTTGAGTACAGTCAGATTGCTGTCAAACAAGATGATCATGAAGGAGAAGCTTTGGTGACTGGTGACTACTGGCAGGTTGATCCACTACGTCGTGAACTCATCAGGCACCACAAGGACAAGAGAATGAACTTACATGAGATGACTCGATCAGAGAAAACTCCAATTCCAAAGATCAACTTCTTGATGAGAGAGAAACCCACATGGAATTCCAGAAGAGCAAGAAGAAGGTTCTTCACAAGGACAACTGGCGCACTGAGAAGAAGAGGTTTTCTGAACAGAGTGAAGAGTTCTGGAAGGGCAAGACCATCTACAAGATCAAGGAGGACTACGTGATCCCAGATGACATTGTCAGAAGTGACATTGATCGTGCAAAGCCCTTTCGTGGAAACATTGATGATCTTTTTCACCCTGAGTCAGCCTCTTCAGTGCCATCAGGTGTACAGAAGAAGAAGCCAAGCTCCTTAAAGAAGGAGGAAGGCAAACCGATTTCAAATGGACCAGGCTCGAAAAAGATTGAGGTAGGTCCACCTGCAGCCAAAAGACACGTAGGTAAGCAGAAACCTCAAGTTGTCGATGACTCTCAATCAGGTTCATCAAGAAAGAAGGTTGTTGTCTCCTATCCCAAGCTTGATGAAGAAGATGAGCTTGATAAGGTAGCTAGGGAATTAGGTTTGGACAAAATTGATTCAGATGAACCTCAAGGCATTGAACCAAAACATTCTGCACCTGCGCGCAACCGTGGTAAGCAAGATTCAGAAAGTCAAGTTGAGAAACTAGGTAGTGATGCTCTTGAGCCTAGGCGAGTTTCGATTCCACTGCCTGGTAGTGAAGTGCAAGCCATGACGCCAGCATACAGAAAGATGCTCAGGAAACTGGAGGATAGTGTGGAACTTTACAAACTTCACATTAAACACTATCACATGTCTCCTACTCAATTCAGACGAAGGACTTCCATGTTAGGACTTCCTGACTCTGTTTATCAGAAGTATGAGGAGATGTACAACAAGTGTCGTGTGTGTAGTACTTCCATTGCACCACCGCCGCGAGCCAGAATTTCAGGCATACGATCCACCAACTTTGGAGATGTTATCTTTGTTGATCATGCTGAAATTCAGTTGAGGAAGAACAAGTACATGGTGTTGCTTGTTCTTGATGGTGCAACCAACTTACTTTGGGCTACGGCACAAAACTCACTGAACAACAAGGAGACCATTCAGGCTCTAAGGTTGTGGAGTGATGAACACAATTGTATGCCTAAAGCCATCGTAGGTGATGAAGCTTTCTTTCAAGAAGACTTTCTGACTTATTACCGAACTCATGGTATCAAGGAATGTCCCTGTGGTTCAAGAACCCCATGGCCTAACAGAGCTGAATCAGCTGTCAGACTTTTCAAACGACAATGGCAAATCATGTCCAAGAACCTTGAAGATGATAGGTTCAAAGGAATCACCATCAGAGAAGCTGTGAAGCGTACTGTTTGGGCCAGAAACACTCAACTCACTGTTAGTGGTTATTCTCCTTTGGAAATTGCCACTGGTAGAAGACCACCAGATCTTCTGGATATTGAGACTTCTGATCCTGCTCAACTTAGTGTTGATCCCTTACCTGAAGACAAAACACAACTCGAGTTGCAAAGGTTAGCACTGAGGGCACATCAGGAAGCCAGACAAGCTGCTGACCTCAGACATGACATGGCCAAACGAACAATGCCATCAGATGGACCTTACAAACCAGGTGACAAGGTTTTCGTTTGGAGTTCCCCTGTCAATGCTAATGCTATTGCTTCAAAGGCATGGAAGAAGGAAAGATGGATCAGAGGTACTGTTATCTCTCAAGAAGGTGCTATGGTCAATGTTCATGTTGACAACGCAGTCATGCGTGTTAATCAATCGAAGGTGAGACGTGACCATGATGAATGGCATGATGTTGCTGTTCCTGGACTTGACACATCGGAACCTGTTCCACTTGCAGTTGAAGATGAAGATGACTATGAACCAGATATCGCTGAATATGCTGAAGCCTACTTAGGTGAACAAGCTCACTGGTTTTGTCAAACTGGCAAGTGTGACGTTGTGGAACTTTTTAGTAGCAACACTGGTCTTAGTTGGCACATGGCA